TTCTAACTAAACATGCACTCATTTGGCACACGTTGCTTTTAGCACATTTTCCAGTGTACTAAGATTTTTCAAGGCTATAGAAAATTCTGAAAGAGCAGCATTTGCTCACAATCTTGTAGCTGTTCTCTGGGGACTGCAATCACTATTTTTCAGGTGGATTTGTTACCTGTTTCGTATGCTGAAAATGGTTCGTTGGTCCTCTGGCTGGTTGGATGTGTTTCAGACTTCTTGCTGTCAATGCAGTGAGGGGACTCCTTCATTCATTACCACCCTTCCTAGTCTTTCTCCACGTTCTCTTGAAGTGCATGCATGGAAAGAGTGAGCAAGGCCTGAAAGGAAGGCCACTGGTTCATTTTCCCCATGTGGTCCTGCTCAACAGTTGACAGCTGCCATTCATAAAAATGAGCATTTGGAGCTGGCCTGTATCTACCATCTTAATCCTGCATTTCATAACATCTAATCCCATCTATCAGTGGCTTGTTAGAATGCAGTTGTGTAATCATCAAGTCTCTTAATTTCCTGTCTGGACAGTTTGTACATTCTGTTCACTGCTTGTTGGAGGCAGGGCTCCAGGGCTGCATGGATTTGATTTTGTACTGTGGGTATATGTGTCTGTCCCACCCCCCCTTCTTTCCTTTCTTTCTGTCTGTCTTTCGCAAACCATAAATTGCCTCTGATTATAAACCTTATTCTAAAATCAAATGCTGTGGTCCATAATGCCACTTGTAAAATAAGGAAAGAGTGCGGATGGGCATGTAATTAATTGACTCCAGCTCATCCCACCATGCGGAATTCTTCATTTCTTCCCCTGTAGCCGCTTGGCTTTGGGGGCTGCTGCATTCACTGATTTGACTGGCAGCTGCCATCAGTGCAGACGATGCATTGCCAAGTATGAAAGGGCAGGCCTTGGCCCTGCGGAGTGTACAGTCTAACATCTACACAAGGGAGACAGCAGAGGGAGAGGAGGGAAGTGAAGCAGTCGTCTTGGGTATGCGTATCTCAGCCAAAAATAAATAAATCCTGGTATCTCCAGACTTCCTGGAAAATTACAGACTTACCAATTAGATTCATATGCTGTTCTCCACAGCTTGGTGACGGTTATCAAGGTTCCTCGAACACTTATACTTCCATCGGCATTTTCTCCTTCCAGTTGGAGGTGGCATTTGGGTGGTGGCAGGTGCAAGGCAGCTAAAAGTTGTAACCACAGGAATATACAGGACGATGCCCTCCCTTATGTGCGTTGTGACCATGATGGTCAGGTGGTTGCTTGAAATGGCAAAAGGAAGCAGGGGCTGTGCTTTATTCTGAGGTCCACCTCTCCCCGTTCATTGTCCCCTTTATATCCTGCCTCTCCGTTCCAGTATGAGACCAGCAAGGTAGCTTGCACTCTAAATAGGGGTATCATAAAATTGATGAACTTAAAACATGCAGCAAAAATCACCAAGCAGCAAAAATGAAAAGAAAAAACATTTTAAACGTTTAACAAGTTTTCTGTGTTGAATTTCAGCACAGTTTACAATAACTAAAAAAAACCCAGTAGGGTTGCACTAAAACAATCCCAGCAAGAGAAAAATAAACCAGAATGTTAAAATCTCTGGAAAGGTCTTTGCCTGGTGTCGAAGAGACAGTGTAGGCACCAGGCAAGCTTCCCTGGGGAGAGACTTAACAAGGTACCACAACCAAAAAGGCCTTGTTTGGTTCAGCCAACCAATCTTCTTTCTGTTGAAGTTTTAGGTGCCTTGTACAGCAAATTCTCCCCCATTCGCGCCCCCCCCCACCCATGCTACCCACTGCTAAGATGCACTTAAAAGCACTTCCTAGCAACCATAGCTGGCAGGTAGGCAGCTGATATTTTATTTAAAGCGCTTTGCATAATTTCAACCTGTCTTGGGGAGCTAGTGGGCTGTGGCTTAGCAGGTGTTTAAATTAGTTTAGCCATAAATATTTATGTCCACCAGGCTTAACTTGATCCCCAATTTCTATCTCCTCCCATCAATATTGTATGGCTTTGAGATGCCTGCACTTCCCTTTGCCGTTTTCTGAAACCAGTGAAAAGCACTTGATACATGGTTGAACAGAAGGTAGAATGCAGCTATTTTGGTGGCTTGGTATTTGAGATCACCTCAAGCAAGACTGCTCTTTCCTCTCTTTACAGCCTACTAGGTCCTGTTGCGATCTAAAGATCCATCAGGAAAAGCCACCTTAAATGTTCAGCTGGTATTCCCCACATTTCTGATAACGGAGAGGTTTTGTCCTGAATTAAAATTGGAACCACACCTTTTCATATGTTAGTAATTCTAAATGTTAGCTATTGAACTTTAGCAGTAGCCTCTAAAAAATTACTTTTCATGTAAAAGAGAAGACTGGACTGGACTGTTGGCTCAGTGCTAATTATGGAGCCAGGGAGAAAAGTCTGAGGCCCAGGTCTTTCCCATCACTGCCTTCCTGCTTCTTTCGCCTGTAAATTCCACAACAGTCTGCATGCAAAGCAGGAACTCCTCTGCTGAGCCGTGGACCCTTACTGCAAAGAAGCCTCCCTGCCTTGTATGAGTTGCTATGCTAGACATGCCTCCTGGTTTGGAAAGAGGCAAAGTGAGAACACGGAGCCTCCATGAGGCAGGGCAATGCTAGTGCATCCCTTTCTTTAGAATGTTTGAATGGCAAATCACCTCAAGGCAGATGCAGATCCTTGAGACCCCCCCCCCCCACGCACACAACAGAGATCAATTGAAGGAGCCGATGTCAGAGCATGGAATCATGCAGAGACACACCAAAGAGCCTCCTTTGCGGGAGAGGTGGAACTGGAGGAACTTTTAATGTAGGATTGAGATATTTTGGGCCCTCCAGATGTTTTGGCGTATAATTTATCCTTGTCTGCTTTAACAAATTCAACTCTTTCAGTCCACTAATATTTCCGGGGTGGAGGTGAGTGCGGTCCTCCAGATAATTCTAGACTACAACTCCATTCATTCCTGATGATTAGCCACGGTGCTAGCTGATAGGTGTTGGAGACCAACATCAACTGGAAGCCAGAAGTTTCCTACTCCCAGTTTTAGTGAGACTGTGAGCTTCATCAGAACAAAACAAGACACTCTTGCATTAAAGTTTGCATACACTGGCATTTTCAGCCAGCTGTGCCTATACCTTTGGCCGGCCAGTGGTTGTAGCTTTGGACCTGTTTTGTCAGGAACCAGGTTTCCCCTTACCTGTTTCAAACTGCAGTTAGTCTCTTCATCACATAGTTCTTTATTTCCGATTCACAGCTAACCGTCGATAGCAGGGCAGTCCAACTTTTTGTACCTCACAGCCTGCAGGAGGACTTTGACGTGGAACCTGGGCGCCACACAGCAAATTATACTTCCATATTGTGAATCAAAGTGTTCACAATGTATTTATTTAATTTAATATAAACTTGCTGGAGGGGTCAGGGATCAGCTGCTTAATTGCAAGATCATTTAGGGCTCATTGAATGAAAAAGAACATTGTCCGGGCCTGTGACCTCCAGAGATCGTAGGCAGTTCCTTCTCTGGCCACCGCCCCGGCACAAGGATCGCTTCCCTGGGGTAGCCCATCGCCTTCTTCCCCATTTCTCGCACCCAGCAGCCCTCCCATGTGGTCCCTCTCGGCCAGCCTTCCGTCTTGGAATCAGTGTGCTGAGCCTTTTGCACCTGAGCTGGTGAACTCTGCCCAGTCCTGTCGACACGGAGGAGCCTCCAGAGCAGAGTGGGATGGGCTGGCACCCTTGGGAGAGCACGCCGCCATCATGCCTGTGCCATTGCTGGGATCCAGACTGGTGGGCTCCAAGTGGCAGGAGGGCTGCACAGGAAGCCTCAGTGGCCGCATGCAGCCTGCAGAGTGTGTATTGAACCACCCCAGTCTGTAGCTACAGGAAGATGAGACCCCATGTGTCTAGAAACCACTTCCAAAAACTCTCCATTTCGCATCACCAGGCTCCACCCTTTGGGCATGTCCCTCTGGAGAAGGGCTAGGTTCCCAGATCTGCGCAGGCCCTCTAATTTAGTAGCCCTTCTAGCCTGACACTGTGTCATGGGTTCATGGACTGGACCAGGGTCCTCTTCTTCCTCTCCCTAGTATCCTGTCCCCAGCACTTCCAGCTCTTGTCTGTTACCACGGCCTGCTTGAGACAGCAGCCCTGAAATACCCTCTCTCTCCTCCACCTTGAGTCCCACATTCCTGGCTTTCCAGCCACATCACATTCCCCATCCAAGGAGTCAGTACCACCCTGACCCTCAGAAGCATGCCAGGAATCATGGCCTACCCATTCCCAATCCCTTCCTTGCCAGTGGGGGTTGTCACCAGCATTCATACATGGTGAGTTCAAGACTTCCAGTAGGTCCAAGGCAAGGATATATGGGGGCTACCAAGGGTCTCATGGCTGAAAACATTTACCCATGTCTTGTGCTTAAGATCAGGAAAGGGCAATGGTTGCTACCCTCTCATCATGGAATTTATGTGGTGCAGGGATGGCGGGGCCTCACTAAAGATCTGGGGGCCCCCCTGCAGTAGAGAAGCAGGGAACACAGAAATGGTTTGACTGGCATGCGTTCTTCTCCAGGAGCACGCTTGAGGGTCAGAGTTGCTTTTTGCTTTTCCACTATTTTTTCTTTTGTAAGCAAACAGAAATCTATTTTTAATTTTTGTGTGGAGCTATTGTATAATTAGGTTCTTGTACATTAGACTGGGAAGACAGATGCTGTGCTATCGTTAGAACAGGCCAAAATAACCTCCAGATTATAGTAGATGTTTGCATTTTCCACTGGTCTATAATCCATAATCTTTTTTAATTCCTTTTGAGTAGTAGCTGATATTGGTAAAACCCATGCCAAAAGGCACGGAAGAGCTTATTCAGAAAGCTCTTCTATTCATGTAAGTAATATATGGGGTGATGCACTCTTTATTCTTTTGGCTGTTAGGTGACATAGAAATAAATAAATATTCTGTCTTGTGTAGTGACAATTCTCCCTTTCTTTTTCCCTTAGATGCAGCAGCTGTTTTATGAAAATTATGAACAGAACAAAAAAGGTTACATCAAAGACCTCCGTAATAGCAAAATTCACCGAGCAATCACCTTGCACCCGAACAAGAGCCCCCCTTACCAATACAGGCTCCACAGCTACATGTTGAGCCGTAAAATAGCAGAGCTACGTTATCGGACCATCCAACTGCACCGAGAAATTGTCCTCATGAGCAAATACAGCAATACTGAAGTCTACAAGGATGATCTTCAGCTGGGCATTGCACCTTCTTTCATGCGGTTTCAGCCCCACCAGCGTGAGGAAGTTTTGGAGTGGGAATTCCTCACAGGGAAGTATCTTTATTCTGCTGCAGATGGACAGCCACCTCGTCGCGGCATGGACTCCTCTCAGCGTGAGGCATTGGACGACATTGTCATGCAAGTTATGGAAATGATCAACGCAAATGCCAAGACCAGAGGACGGATCATTGACTTCAAGGAGATACAATACGGCTATCGCAGGGTCAATCCAATGTACGGGGCAGAGTATGTTCTTGACTTACTACTTTTGTACAAGAAGCACAAGGGAAAGAAAATGACTGTTCCTGTCCGAAGGCATGCATACTTGCAGCAGACCTTTAGCAAAGTCCAGTTTATGGAGGATGAAGAGATGGATGCCAAAGAGTTGGCCAATAAAATCAACCAGGATTCAGGGTCCTTGTCCTTCCTCTCCAATTCCCTGAAGATGTTTGTTCCATTCCAGCTAAGTAAGTCAAAAGCCGAGAAGAAGGAACCCAAAGATGAAAAGATCAATATCTTGATTCCCCTCTCCGGACGCTTTGATATGTTTGCACGCTTTATGGTGAACTTTGAAAAGACCTGCCTCATTCCGAATCAGAATGTCAGATTGGTCGTCCTGCTTTTCAACTCAGACTCCAACCCTGACAAGGCAAGGCAGGTTGAACTCATGAGAGATTATCGCCTGAAATACCCTAAGGCAGACATGCAGATCTTGCCAGTATCTGGTGAATTCTCCCGTGCTCTTGCCTTAGAAGTTGGATCCTCTCAGTTTAACAATGAATCTTTGCTCTTCTTCTGTGATGTTGACTTGGTGTTTACAGCTGAGTTTCTCCAGCGGTGTAGAGCCAACACAGTACTGGGGCAACAGATATATTTTCCAATTATCTTTAGCCAATACGATCCAAAGATTGTCTATAGTGGGAAAGTTTCGAGTGATAATCATTTTGCCTTCACTCAGAAAACTGGCTTCTGGAGGAACTATGGCTTTGGGATTGCCTGTATTTACAAAGGTGATCTCATTCAAGCAGGTGGTTTTGATGTTTCTATCCAGGGCTGGGGTCTCGAGGATGTGGACTTGTTCAACAAAGTTATTCAGGCTGGCCTAAAGACTTTCCGAAGCCAAGAGATTGGAGTAGTCCATGTACATCACCCTGTCTTCTGTGACCCTAATCTTGATCCAAAACAGTATAAAATGTGTTTGGGGTCTAAAGCATCAACTTATGGGTCTACGCAGCAGTTGGCTGAACTTTGGCTTCAAAAGAATGAACCGAATTTTGGCAAGACCAGCATTGCTAATGGTTCCTTGAGGACAGCTTAATATCCAGCTATGCTGGAAAAAAATCCTACCTGTTGCATTTTTTAAAAAAGAATTGCCCTAATTTATTTTTTGTTTGGGAAAACATTTTGATAGTTGATTTTTTTAAAAAGACCGCACAAGGGTATATTTTAGAGACCATCGTTTTCTTACAAGGACCTTTTGGGCTTTTTTTCTGAACAAAACTGTGATCAATTCTTGCCTTTCTGAACAAGCATCAGTGGCTGAGTATTGTGACTTCCCTGGTTCTGACAACTTGAAATATTTTTTCCCCTGATAGTCAAACTTTTTAAAAAGAAAACTGAAAACTTCCCTATTGCACACCCAATCCCACTGTTCGTTTGGTTACTTGGGTTCTTCCAGCAGCACTCGAATGCAAATGATTCACTTAACCCCCCACCCCCTGGGATCAGAACAGAAATAATGGATTCTTCCATGAATTTTTTGAAGTATTAAAACAAAGGGAGAAAAGTGGCAGTGTTGGCGAATTTACTCACAAGAATCTTCCATATCTCATCTTTAAAATGTGCTGTTTTTTGCTCATTGTATTTTGAGCAACCAGAAAAAGAAGAGGGAATTGAGCACAACCTTAATAATGTGTACCTTTGTTTAAAAAAAGAAAGAAAAAGAAAAAAAGAAGAAAAACACTTCCTTTCTCAGTCCATATGTGGATCTGAAGTTAAAAATTCCATAGCAGGTTCTGAGATTTTCCTAATCTAATGTCTTATGTAGATGCCTTGATGACAAAGAGCAATGCTTTAGTTAAAAGGAAAAATGGCTTCTGTTTGCCATAAAAAGCAACAAACTTAAATCTGAGACACTCCAAATTGAATGTGTTGGGAAAATATTTATCTCCCCCACCCCCACTCCAACCAGTTACAGTATTCCGATTGGGAACAATTTACTATGTTTCCTTTGCTTAACTAGTTTGTTTCTGCTTTCTGTATTGGGTAGCCTTTTAATTTATTTAATATCCTTTTTTTAGTTTACTGTCCTTTTATTTTAATAACTGCTAGTTGATAATATTTATGTATCTTAGGAATGTATTGCATCTTCTATTGTAAGTTAAAGATCGCTTACATTTTCTTACTTTGCAGTAAACCCATCTCTAAAGATTTTTCTAAAGTGTTCTTTTTTCCCAAAATTAATGCTATATATACATATATATATTAAAAATAATAATAGAAACTCTGGATATAGTTTCTGATGCCCCAAACTTCAGCTTTCAGGAAGGAAATAGAAATGGTGGGGAAAACCTTTGTCTGAGCACAGAGCAAAAGCTTGAAAATATGTGCATGCACATTCCCTGTGGCAAAATAAAATGTCTTTGAATAAAAAATAAGCTTTTTTGCATTGAACTTTACAATGGTACCAGAACTTGTGTTTGAAGCACAATCCTATACCGGCACCTAATCATTTGTAACCATCTTTATTTCCCCCAGAAGAAAAATAAATTGAGTGACCAACGTGTGCCTTTTCAGTGCTATTCTGCTCTCTGTGCTGTGTTGCGCTTCACCGTATCACTTTTGAATTTGCGGGAGGAAAGGATTTCAAAAAGCTACTTTGTCGTGATTCTGAACTATAACAGCCTCCTCTCCTGTTGTGAGTAAGGATTACCTCCAGGACTAACAGGCTGTGGGAAACCTTTGCAAAGTAGTAGAAAGTAGGTGGTACAGGACTTCTTTCAGGTTGTCCATGTGTCACAAAGCTCACCTTGGTACACGCTGAGTAGCTGGGCTAGTAAAAATGTTGCTGGGTGGATAACTTTAAAACATAAAGCAACAACCGTGCTGTGGCCATTGAAAAGGCTTCAGGAAATCCATCAAAAGCCAAGGCAAAGAAAATCAGTTTTTATCTGATCTCGAAGCATCATCAGATTTGGTGAACTGATCTATGGAGAGAGTTCTAGAGATGAGGTGGAACGATTCTTCAAGAGTGATTAATTTTGTGGACTACAAAACAGTAATGTCTTTCTGCTAAAAATCAGTTAAAGCAATGCACAATAACAACAATGAATTTACCATTAAATTGCAATAATCAAAGATGCAGTAAGTAAATCAAGGTGATCAAAGTGAGTAGCAAGCAACAAATTACCTGTCAGAAGTTTAGAAGCACAAGGGTGCAAATCTGTGCAAGATTAGATAGACCAGCCTTTCCAGCCTTGTGCCTTCCAGACACACTTGGCCTGCAACACCCAGAATTCCCAGTCAGTGGCCCTGCTGGATGGGAATCCTGCTCGTAAGGCCACCAGGTTGGGGAACACTGCGACAGACAAAAACATACAGCTCCTGGGACTTGCACCTTGTATCAATTTGGCAGATACTGAAACTGGCACCAAGTAAACCTTTTCGGAGAGGAGATGCCATAAAGAGCATGTCGCCACCATCACCCAGCCAGCCTCTGAAGCAGAGCCTCAAATGATTATTTTTGCAAGAGTTTGCTGCAACGAACTTACTTACTTAGGGGCCACCCCTTACTTGACATTTTGTACTTTGGTATGCAGAACTGAATGCAATATATAGCTGCAGACAGTGAGAAAAATCTCACCACTTCCCAGTTTCTTCTGATGTTAAATAGGGAGTAGCTGTGAAGAAATATTAAGGATCATTTATTTGCTGTATTTTTATCCCACCCTTCCTTAGAGCCTGTATTGTTTGGAGATGGCAAGGCAAAGAAATAGAAAATTTGAGAAAACAACCCATGTGTGGTTTTTTTTTTAATGAAAAGAGGGGGGGGTCGAATTTTTTAATGTTTCTGTTTTTTTCCAAGGCTTCCCATCTGCCCCCTCCCCACGCCATCATTGCAACAGCTGGCCCAAGGTTACCGAGCAAGTTTTCTAGCCGAAGATGTGTTTATGAAGTTGGGGTCTTCTTTAAGACTACTGTAATGGGTGTTATATGTTCTGTGCTTCCTTCATAATTCAACTTTCAATTTGTGGGACAAAAGGACACAAAAATAGCACAAAACTTTGGCCTATGGTTGGAGGAGATATGAGAATGTGGGAATTTTGCCTTCATCAGCACCTACCGAAATCCAAATCACAGGAGATACTGGTTCCTCTCTTCAGTGCTAGTTGGGCCCCGTCCTGAGTACTGTGTCCAGTTCTGGGCACCACCCTTCAAGGAAGATGCAGACCAGCTGGAAAGGGATCAGAGGAGGCCAACAGAGATGATTGGGAACTGAAAACAAGATGGGAAGAGCTGGGCACCTTTAGCCTGGAGAAGAAAAGACAGGAGATTTGATAGTACTTGTCGAATACTTGAAAGGCTGTCATACTGAGGAGGGCCAGGATCTCCTCTTCCTCATCCTAGAGTGTAAAACTTGGGATAATGGGCTCAAGTTCTGACTGGACATCAGGAGAAACTTCCTGTTAGAGCAGTACAGCAATGGAACCAATGGCTCTCCCCTGCTGAGGCAGCAAAGCAGCCCTCTGTCCGGAGCACTTTTTACTGGAGTCCTGCACTGAGCAGGGGGTTTGGCTCAATGGCTTTATATGCCCCCTCCAGCTCTACTATTCCGTGATTCTAGATTATGACATTTTCATACTTTTTGTGGTGGCACAAAGCTCAAAATTTGCGGCACAGAATGCCACAAAACGGACAGAAAATGTTAGTATGGCTTTGAAATAGTTACTTGTTTGGGAGGTTCTTACTTGATAGACCATGTAAGTTCAGGATTTTTGTACTGCTTGTGCAGGAAATGACCTAAGGCTAATGTCCCTGTCTTCAAAGGTGGGCGGGGGGGAGATGAATCTGGGAACTATAGCTCAGTTAGTCTGACATCCATCTCTGGAAATATTCTGGAGCAAATTATTAAAAAGGACCTCACCTGGAATTATGTGTCCAGTTCTGGGCACCAAGATTTAAGAAAGATGCAGGTAAATAGAAAGGGTCCAGCAGAGGGCTACAAAAATGATCCAGGGTCATTTGAGGAGAGACTCTCCCCTATGAGGAGAGACTGGGAGAACTGGGCATGTTCAGCCTTGAGAAGACTGAGGGGAGACATGACTTCCCTCTAGAAGTACCTCGAAGGCTGTCATAAAGAGGAAGGCCAAGATCTCTTCTTGCTGGTGCTGGAGTGTAGGACATGGAATAATTCAAGTTGTGATAACGCAGATTCAGGCTGGTCAATCGGAAAAGCTTCCTCACCGTCAGAGCACTACAACAGTGGAACCAGCTGCCTGGAGAGGTGGTGGGATCTTCCACCCTGGAGACATTCAAGAGGAAACTGGACAACTATCTGAGCAGAATGGTGTAAACTGGTGTCCTGCAACAGCAGGGAGTTGGACTCGATGGCCTTCATGGCCCCTTCCAACTCTTCTATGATTCTGTGACCTGCTAGCATCGGATGTGCTGAGGCAGCAAAAAGCCAAAGGGTTGCCATGTTGGCTACCTGACCCTGAAGCATAGAGTGTTGAGACCGGTGTTGTTTCCCAACGCAGAGGCATGTTTTCATTGAAGCAGAGATGGAGCAATGGAGATTTGCTTGTCTCGGCCTGCCAATAGTCTCTAGAAAGGAGGACAAGTGAAGAATCAGCCCTTCCAGCTTCCTGTGACTTGAGCCCATTATTCCAATTTTATTCTCTTGAATGATGGAGAAGAGATGCCAGAGGAGAGGGTACATCCCATTAGAAGTTGGCAGCTGCTAAAAGGAACAAGAGTGGTGGATGGGAAAGAGGAGCTGTGTGTTGGGGGGCAGAGAGCAAAGATAAAGTCTTCAAACCATAATTAAGGGAAAAGTACTTTCTAGGACCTACAAGATCCTCTCACTGGATGTTGCAAGGCCAAACACCAGGACAGTCTCCCCAGATAAAGGAAACATCAAAATATGTTAACTTTTTAATAAAGGCACAGCTTAACCCTCTTGTTGGAGCAGCATTTTTGGAAACCAGCTGTGGTTTGCTTTCACTTGCTTTGATTTCTTTTGAGTGAAGGGATGGGATAGGATAATAGTAGAGTTGGAAGGGGCCTAATGAGACTATCAAGTCCAACCCCCTGCTCTGCCCCCGCATGCAGTCCCCCATCCAGCTACAGGCACACTCCTTTCCAGCTTAGCAAAAGTGTCAAGACATGCTAGCTCCATGTATAGTTATGCAGGCAAAATAAGGGTGATGAAGGGTTTCCTGGGATTTTCCTTGCCAAGCAATTTGGTCGTGCGTGTGCGTGCGCGTGCGCGTGCGCGTGTGTGAGAGAGAGAGAGAGAGAGAGAGAGAGAGAGGGGATGTCATGGTTGGGAGGAAGTCATCTCTCTTCCCACCCCAGTAGCTCCCACAATTTTAACCCCTTCACCACACTGGTTCTCATGTGGTCATGAGATGATGTGAAAAACCCCTGCAAATGGTGGCAGCCACACAGGGTCACTTCTGACCCTTCCAAGCTGCACCTCCATTTCCTTTTAATATTAAACACTCTTGCCATGATTCCCTGCTCTCTCTCCTTTCGCTTGCTCCCTGTTACAAAACAGTTTGGGCACAGAACTCAGCCACTAGGAACAAGGCAAGCATACACTCATGCGTGCACACTTGTTTGTGTGTGTGTGTGTGCTTAGGAAGCTGTGGGTAGTAGAGATTGGATGCCTTGAGTGGCACCTTCTGTTGCCACTCTTTTTGTGGGACTTTATGGTATCTTTTCACCTTGAATGGGAAAATGGAGCTCCCAGGTCAAGATGTCAAGACAGACCTTTGTGGTAAGTGGAAATGGTGCAGCAGATGACTTGTGGGTTGGGTTGGTGGGTTTCTGGGCCCAAAACAAGCCATAGTGATACCTCATGACCGGGTCTGGACAACTCAAGCCCAGGAGTAAAAGGCTCAGTGTGACATGCAACCCTGCCAGAGCAGCCAGTAAAGGCAGTGGTGCAGTTTAGAGATGGCAGCTTCTGTCTTCCGTCACCCATGCTGCTCATGAGCCTCTGAATTTAGAGGCCTCCAAGGTTCCAATCCCAAGCATCTGGGGCTGGGGGGGGGGGGCTTTGCCTGCCCACCCTCCATCCTGCCTGATTTTCTGTAGACAAGCATGTCAGCCTGGAAATTGATACTGGCCTTCCTCTCTTTTTGGTTTAAAGAACATTGAATGCGAGCTGATGTAGACATTTTATGATGTCTGCATTGAGGGATGCACTTTGAGGTGGGGCGTGGGGGCTGGAGGAGGCCCCAGATGCCTGGGAGATCTTCACTCTTCACCCACCATGAAGCCTCCTTTCCTCCTCCTCTTCTAGGGTCATGTCCAACCTTGGCGGGCAGCTGGGGTGGGCCTTTCCACTGTAGCAGAGAGGGGACAGAAAGTCAGAATTCCAGCTCCTGCCTCTGAGGTCAGAGCGCTTTCTCCAACCTTGGAAGTATTTTCCCAAACAGTTCTAGGTTCCTGGGAATATTCTCCAGGGGCCCTAGGACTAATTTTCTCCTTGTAGTAATATGCTTACAGTTAGATTATCTAATGTTAACAAAGCTGTTCCTTAAGAGAAACTTCATATTTAATGTAATCC